ATCCATTTTGAGTTGATTTTAATATATGGCGACAAGTGCATGTCTAGTTTCATTTTTCTGCATATGGACATCCAATTTTCCAAGTACAACCTATTGAAGAGGCAGTCTTCTCCCCAATGTATGTTTTTGTTGTCTTTGTCAAATATTAGATGGCTGTAAGCCTGAGAGGTGATTTCTGGGTTCTCTATTCTGCTATACTGGTCCAAATGTCTTCCAGTACCATGCTATTTTGGTTACTATAGCGTTGTAGTATAATTTGAAGGCAGGTAGAGTTATGCTGCTGGCTTTATTTTTTTTCTCAGGCTATTCGGGGTTTTTTCTTGTTCCATATGAATGTTAAGCTTGTTTTGTCCATTTCTGTTAAGAATGTCATTGGTATTTTGATGGGGATTGTGTGGACATTTTCACAATGTTAATTCTTCCAATCCAAGAGCATGGAATGTCTTTCCATCTTTTTGTGCCTTCTTTAACTTCCTTCAGTAGTGGTTTGTAGGTCTCATTGTAGCGATCTTTCACCTCCTTGGTTAAATTGATTCCGATGGGTTTTTGTGTGTGTGTGTGCGACTGTTGTAAATGGACTTACTTTCTTGATTTCTCTTTCTGTTAGCTCATTATTGGAGAATATAAATGCAACAGATTTGGGGGCCTTTCTTTTCTATTCTGCAATGTTACTGAAATTATTAACCAGCTGTAAGAGTTTTTTGACAGAGTCTTCAGATTTTTCTATATATAGTATCATGTCATCTGCAAATAGGGACAGTTTGAATTCATCTTTTCCAATCTGGATGCCCTTTATTTCTTTCTCTTGCCTGATTGCTCTGGCTAGTACCTCCAGTATTATGTTAAATAGAAGTAGTGAGGGTGGGCATCCTTGTCTTGTGCCTGTCCTTAAGGGAAAAGCCTTCAGTCTTTCCCCATTCACAATAATATTGGTGGTGGGCTTGCCAATGGATGGTTTTCATTGTGTTGAGATACTTTCCTACTATACCTAATTTGTTGAGGGTCTTCATCATGAAGGGATGTGGAATTTTAACAAATGCTTTTTCTGCATTTACTGAGATAATTATATGGTGTTTGTCCTTGATTTTGTTGATGTGATGTATCATTTATTGACTTTCATATGATGAACCATCCTTGCACCTCTGGGATAAATCCCACTTGACCAGGGTGGGTAATTTTTTTGATGTGTTGCTGTATTCTGATTGCTAATATTTTGTTGAGGATTTTTGTGTCTATGTTCATGAAGGATACTGGCCTATAATTTTCTTTTTTTGTTGTACCTTTTGGTTTTGGTATCAGTTATGCTGGCCTCAGAGAATGAGTTTGGGAGAATGGCTTCTGTTTCAATATTTTGAGAATTGGTATTAATTTCTCTTTAAAGGTCTGCTAGAATTCAGCTGTACGGTCATCCAGACCCTGGCTTTTCTTTGTTGGAAGATTCCTTATCACTGCTTCAATCTCGTTCCTTGTTACTGGTCTGTTCAGGTTTTCTATCTCTTCTTGGTTTAGTCAGGGTAGTTTGTATGAATCAAGAAATTTATCTACTTCTTCCAGGTTTTCATATTTGTTGCCATAAAGTTGTTCAAAATAGTCTCTAATGATTTTTTGTATTTCTGTGGTATCAGTTGTTAACGTCTCCCTTTTCATTTCTGATTTTTGTTATTTGGGTCTTCTCCTTTTTTTTTATGAACATACCTAATGGTTCGTCTATTTTATTTGCGTTTTTCAGGTTTTCTATCTCTTCTTGGTTTAGTCAGGGTAGTTTGTATGAATCAAGAAATTTATCCATTTCTTCCAGGTTTTCATATTTGTTGCCATAAAGTTGTTCATAATAGTCTCTAATGATTTTTTGTATTTCTGTGGTATCAGTTGTTAACGTCTCCCTTTTCATTTCTGATTTTTGTTATTTGGGTCTTCTCCTTTTTTTTATGAACATACCTAATGGTTCGTCTATTTTATTTGCGTTCTTGAAAAACCAACTTTTTGTTTTGTTGATCTTTTGTATCATTTTTGCTGTCTCTCTTTCATTTGGTTCTGCTCTAATCTTATTTCTTTCAGTCTACTATCTTTAGGATTGGATTATTGTTGTTTTTCTAGTTCTTTGAGGTATAGTGTTAGGTCATTTATTTGAAGTCTTCCCATTCTTTTGATGTAAGTGTTTATTGCAATTAATGTCCCTCTTACTACTGCTTTTGCAGTGTCCCACAGGTTGGTATGATGTACCTTTATTTTCATTAGTTTCAAGAAATTTTTTGATTTCACATTTAATTTCTTCTTTGAGCCATAGGTCATTCAGGGGGGCCTATTGTTTAGTTTACATTTATTTGTATAGTTTCCAGGGTTTTGCTTGTTATTAATTTCCATTGTGGTCTGAAAAGATACTTGAAATGATTTCAATTTTTAAAAATTCGCTAAGATTAGATTTGTGACCTAATATGTGGTCTACCCTGGAGAATGTTCCATGTCCTGATGAGAAGTATATTCTATAGTTGTTGGGTGAAATGTTCAGTACATATCTGCCAGGTCCAGTTGGTGTAAGGTGTAGTTTAAATCCTGTGTCTCTTTGTTGATTTGTTGCCCGGAAGATCTGTCCCATACTGAGAGAGGGGTGTTCATGTCACTCACTATTATTATATAATATAGGGCTTATTTCTTTCTTTAGGTCTAAGAGTATTTGCTTTCTATATCTGGGTGCTCCAGTACTGGGTGCATACATATTTATGATTGTTATGTCTGTTAGCTGGATAGACCCCTTTATCATTACATAGTGGCCTTCTTTGTTTCTTTTTATGGTTTTTGGTTTAAAGTCTATTTTATCTGGTATAAAAACAGCTGCTACTGCTCGTTTTTGTTTTCCATTTGCATGGTATATCTTTTTCCTTCCCTTCGCTTTTAATCTGTGTGTGTCTTTACAAGTGAGGTGAGTCTCTTGAAGGCAGCATATTCCTGGGTCTAGCTTTTTAATCCAATCATTCAGTCTGTGTCTTTTGAATGGGGAATTTAATCCATTCACATCTAGGGTTATTGACAGGTATTGTTTAATTCCTGTCATTTAATTGCTTTTTGTTTAGATATTTTAAATATCTTTTGATCATTACTTCTCCTCTGAGTTCTCTTCTACAATGTTAGTTAGAAATTTGAGGTGGCATGATTTAACTACTTTCTCTTTCTCCACATTTTCTGAGTTCTCTTCTACAATGTTAGTTAGAAATTTGAGGTGGCATGATTTAACTACTTTCTCCACATTTCCTTGTTTTAACTGTGGGTTTTGCTCTTTCTTGTGTATCTGTGATAGTGACTATCATTATTCAGATTCCACATGAAGGACTCCCTTATGAATTTCTTGCAGGGCTGGTCATGTGGTCATGAACTCCCACAATTTTTGTTTGTCTGGAAATGTACTATTTCTCCCTCATTTTTCAAAGAGAGACTTGCTGGGTATAGAATTCTTGGCTAGCAATTTTTTTTTTTTTAGTATTTTGAATATATCATTACACTTTCTTCTGTCCTGTAGGGTTTCAGTTGAGAAGTCTGATGTTAGTCTGATGGGGGTTACCTTATAGGTGACTTGACACTTTTCTCTTGCTGCTTTTAGCACCCTCCCTTTATCTTTGAGCTTTGCCAGTTTGAGTATAACGTGTCTTGCAGAGGATGTTTTTGGACTGAATCTGTTTGGGGACCTTAGAGCTTCCTGCATCTGAAGGTCTGTATCTCTCCCTTACACCTGGGAAGTTTTCTACTATTATTTCCTTGAATAGGTTTTCAATACCTTTTCCTTTCTCCTCCCTTTCTGGAATATCCACAATTTGAAAGTTAGAGTACTTGAGGTTGTTTGCTATCTCTCTTAGATTTTCTTCATTACTTTTAATTCTTTTTTCCTTTTTTTTTTGTCTGCCTTTGTTAATTTGAAAAGACCATCTTCAAGATACGAAATCTTCTTCTGCTTGCTCCAGCCTGCTACTCAAGCTCTCTGTTGTGTTTCTTTTAGTTCATGGAACAAATCTTTCATTTCTAGGAATTCTGCTACACTCTTTTTAAGGTATTAATCTCTTTGTAAATTTCCTCCTTCATATTCTGGACACTTTTTCTTGTTTCATTGTGTTCTCTAATTGAGTCTTCTCTTACCTCTTCGAGTTTTCTTACGATCATTGCTTGGAATTCCTTTTCAAACATTTCAAAGGTTCCCTCCTCTATGGTGTCTGATATTTGAGCATTACTATATTTCTTTGGTGGTGTCATATCTTCTTGTTTGTTTGTAGTTCTAGTATTTCTTTCATTGATGTTTGGTTATCTGGTAGAGAGGATCTGCTTCTTCTATTACTCTTGGGTTGGCTATAAGGATAAATACTTCCTCTATTTGCAGGCTGTACTGGTGACTTTTCTTATATCAATGTAGTTGAGTGCATGGCAGGTTGCCTGTAGAGTGGCCCTGGCTGCTACTGTGGTGGTGAACTGTCCTTGTGGTGCTAGTAAGTGTGATGGTGGCTATAGTACACTACCTTGGCTCCTGCTCTGGCACTGAGAAAGGCTTTCCATGGCCATAGACTGAGCCCCCAGAGTCATGTGGGGCTCAGCTCACCTCTATGTCTGCTGGGGCTTGTGGGCCTAGTTTATCATTTAATATGTTTTGTGTTTCAAATTTCTTGTGTGATAACAATTAAATCTACTTTCATCTGTTACAGATAAATACGAATATAAAACTAAACAATGAGATTTTTTTTCTCCCCAGTTATTCATATTAGCATATATTGAAGTAGTGGGCTTTTGCCATACATTCTTTCTTCTGCCTACCTCCTTCTGCACCAGACAAGAACTTAAAGACCTTTCAGAAGCAAGAAGGTATCAAGAGATTTCAGAAGCACAGTAATTAATCACTATCAAAATGATTCTACTTTATGGTTTTGGGAAATTCCTGAATAACTCATTTTCTATCATCCTGGATATATAAAAAGGTGCAATACTCTCTCTTTGATTGGCTCTCCTACCCCCCACCCCCTTACCTGAGTGGCTTGCTCTCTGGGCCCATATCTGTGAACCCCATTTCCTCCAGTTTGCAACGCCTATAAAGCTCATAGTGCCTAGTGTGGGTCTGCTCTCGCAGGTCCTCCATGTTTGTACAAATGAGCATTTCCCGCAGCTTTACAAAGTCACAGTGGTTTTCATTTTCCACTAGGCAGAATAAATAAAAGAGAAACACTGGTTTTTAATTCCTAGAACACAATTAATATTTGTTGAATGAACAAATAAATGAAAACACATGTGAAATAAACAGCAAAATGATCAGTCCGATTAATAGCTACAATTATTTCATACGAGTAACCAAGGAAGAAACTATTGCTTTATACACACTGTATTATAGGCAATGTTAATTAATAAACCAAGGGATTTGTTTTAAATTTAGTAGCCAATGGATAAACAGGAAATAGTAAAGAAGAACATTTATTATGTTATCATATGCTCTAGTTATTTCACTAATATTTCATTGGCAGTTTACAAAACATCCTCAGGACATTTGACATAGTGCTTAAAAAGAGTATGTAATATTATTTCACTAAAACTTCAAAGCAATAAATTCTGCAAACTCAAAACCACTATCTGTGCATGCTATCATTATCAAATTCTTTTCATACAAAACATTTATGATCCTGCATTAGCCCCTATTCAAAATAAGTGAACATACATACAAGGTCCTTCTATGTTTATAATGAACAAAAGACTACAAATGAATATGTTACTGTGACTAGTAGTCTTAGCTGCAATGATTATTTTTACAATTTTCATACATTAAAAATATCAAGTTTTCTCAATATTTTTCACTAATTACAAAATTTGTCAACTTATAAAAAGCAGAACTTGGGAACCAGTACTAGTAGGGGTAACCTATACTGCATTAATTAGCATTGCAAGTAAATGAACCAGACAGTACTACTTACTTACTCACTCATAATGCTAGATAAATAACCTAAATGTCAAGTGGATTTAACTTTTTAAGTTGGCTGGCTGGTTTGTTTTGTAAATAGGTGGCAATACAACTGACCCCTGAACAATGAGGGGTCAACGTAGCTGATCCCACCTGCCCCTATGCAGCTAAAAATTCTCGTATAACTTTTGATTCCCCAAAAACTTAACTAATATCTTTGGGACTTTATCTCAATCATGTTGAGCCTTGGTGAGAGTTGTGACAACACTTGCTGGAGGGTGAAAGTCAGGCAAGCTCATTGGGGGCCTGGGGCAGCTGCACCAGCTGCCCTCCCAACACTGCCCGGGAAAAACCAACCTCCCCAGGCCCTGCTCCTCCCCGTTCCCTGCAAAAAGGGGTAAATGTTCATTTTTGGGGTGAGGGGAGCTGTGGGTCAGCTTGTCTGCGAAGGTCCAAGTGGCCTGAGTTATGCAGGATGGGGTGGCGGGAGGAGGACCTAAAGCTGGTTGCCTGGGCTTCATTCCCTGTTTCTGCAAGTTCTTGCCACAGGTGCCAGTTTGCTCTTGGAGGGAAAACCTGTGGGGTCTGATGCTCCTGAGTAGGAATGAAAGCAGCCCCTGATGTGTTACTACAACCTGGTCTGACACTCATAGCCAGGCCATGTTATTATTCTCCTGGTATACATGAACAATCTCACAGGATACCAACCCCACACAAAAGTTACAGTGATACCATGATAAAATGAGATAAAACAAGGCTGCTTCCTAATTTGGTCTAAGCACAGATACAAGCAAGGTCACTGCAATACGCAATGAACCCATTCATAAAATACCCCTGGCCTTCTGACAGCTCCCAATCTAGAGCCAAATCCTCTTTCCTTTCCCATCTTCCAAATCACCCAACCAAAACTCAAATCCTGTAATATTTTCTTCTTAACACACTTTTGCTGAGACACCCCCAAAGTTCCTCCATGGAATGTGGTACGTGTTCTCCCTCAGTGCACTGAGTAATAAACCCAACTTGTTTAACTAATAAAAAAAAAAAGAAAACCTGCATTTAAGTGGACTCTTGGTCAGTAGAAATACAAGGGCAACTTCAAAAAGTTCATGGAAAGATTAGTATTATCTTTTAACCCTATATTTCCATGAACTTTTTGAAGTACCCACGTATATAAATTCATGATTTAAATTTATAAGATAGGTTATTGTGCCCAATAGTAAAGTGGTAATTAATGTATCATGTTTAAACACTACTTTTTACATTCAACTTTAGTTCAAAGGCCTGACCAGTGCTCCCACCTTCTGACTATCCCAGCACTACCAGGAGGTAATGTGTATGTGGCACCGTGAGGGCACGGGGAGGCTTTGCCTGGCCTGCACAGACTCTGGCTGAAACAGGGTGCAGCCGGCTTCTCTGACAGCCAGTCATAATCCACAGTAAGTATCACCTCAGAGAGTGCACTCAACGCAACTCTGAGGTCATTTATGTAAAGGAACTTACATAGTTCTAGGCATTGTTTATCTCATTTACCTTGTACAACACCCCAAGGATACTGGCGAGCTTTGACCATCTTATTTCCAACTTTTACCTCATCCATNTTCTAGGCATTGTTTATCTCATTTACCTTGTACAACACCCCAAGGATACTGGCGAGCTTTGACCATCTTATTTCCAACTTTTACCTCATCCATGCTTCCTACAACAGCAAATGGCAAATGTCCCTGAAAAGGAACCATAATATCAATCACACCTTCTCATACCAATGTGATAAATGATTAGCTAAAAATATCTTATGAAAATAATAGGAAAGAGAATAATTTATTAAATAATAAATCAAATAAACTGCTATGCCTTAGATTTTAAAACTTGGCAATGAATATGTGCTAACTGTTCTATAACAGTCATTTCAGGGTTCTATAAAGAAAATTACTTACCCTAAATGCAAGTCATTATGCTATTGGAGACACCAAAAAGAAAAAAAAAGTATAGATGCCATGTCCCTCAATATTATCTTTACCCTAAAAAACAAAGATAATGTCGAAGAGATTACACGCATACACACCCACATACAGTGTATATATAATGAAAGTATATGTTTAGTGTGCATATAGATATATGGTACTAAGACTAAGTAATATATAAAGTCCCAAATTAATGCTAATACAGTAAATGCTACAGACATTGAGAGAAGTGAGAGATCACTGGGAGCAGCAAGATAAAAGCCAAGCTAGAACAAAGTTGGAGGAATCACACTTCCTGACTCCAAAATATACTATAAAACTATAGTAACAAAACAGCACAGCACTGGCTTCAAAACAGACAAATTGACCAATGGTACATAATAGAGAGTCCTGAAATAAACCCATGCACTTACAGCCACCTGATTTTCAACAAAGGTATCAAAAATATACAATGGGGAAAGGACAGCCTCTTCAACAAATGATGCAGGGAAAACTGGATATCCAAATGCAGAAGTATGACACCAGACCCCTATCTCTCACCATACACGAAAAATCAACTCAAAATGAATTAAAGACCTAAATTTAAGACCCAAAACTATGGAACTACTAGAAGAAAACATGGGAAACACTACATGAAATGGAAGTGGGCAGTGCTTTTTTAAGTGAGACTACGAAGGCACAGGCAATTAAAGCAAAAATACACAAATGGGACTACATCAAACTAAAAAGCTTCTGCACAGCAAGGGACATTGTCAACAAAGTGAAGAGACAACCTACAGAATGGGAGAAAGTGTTTGACAACCACACATCAGACAATGGGCTAATATCAAACAACTCAACAGCAAAAAGCACAATTCAAAAATGGGTAAAGGACTGGAATAGATCAGGAAGGATGAGATTTAAATAGATCAAGCATGGTGAGAAAAAACAGCTTAGGGAAGGAGAAGATTTTGAACAAAATACAACAGTTTGTTTCC